GTCTCCTCTCCTCCAAGACTACTCCCTTTTCTCAAAACACAACTTATCTTTTTATAAGAGAATTTGGGTCGGGTCTCGCATCATTTATTCGCTTAAGCGCTCTTCTTTCTTTCAATTTTACTCCAATTATGCTAACAATTATGCTCCTTACTCTTGTATCAAGGTATTCTTGAATTCATCCTATTTTGGGAGAAAAATATATTAGAATTAGCATAAGTTAAGTGATTTCATAACAATTCAAGGCATAATTATATCAACTTTTTACCACTTAACAATCCGTCAGAAATATGGGATTTTCTTATAGTGTTGAAAATGGTGAAACCAATGGGAGTGAAACTTCACGAAATGTGGAGATTAAGGAAGTTAGAGTACAAGTTTCTGTAACTAGTACATCTTCTTCAAGAGTTGTTGTTCCATATGTTGTAGAACCACACGACAATCAAGAAGAAAAACAAATTAATAATTCTGAGATTAACAATGAGTCGATAATAGAACAACCACAAGAAATAGTATTAAAAAGATCTCACAAAGAAAGAATGTCTGCTATTTCACATTATTATGTAGTTTATCTACAAGAGTCAGAAAATGAACTAAGTATTGATAATGACCCAATTTCATTTTTAGACACCATTAGTGGTGATAATTCTAACAAAAGATTAGATGCTATGAAAGATGAACTTGAATCAATGACACATAATGATGTATGGGATCTTGTGGAATTGCCAGAAGGATGCAAGAGTGTTGGGTGTAAATGGGTCTTTAACTAAGCATGACTCTCATGACAATATCGAACGTTACAAGGTCTGACTTGTTGTCAAATGTTTTATTCAGAAAGATGACATTGATTATAAGGAAACATTTTCACTTGTTTCTAAGAAAGATTCTTTTAGAATTATCATGGCATTACTAGCTCATTATGATCTTGAGTTGCATCAAATGGATGTTAAAACCGCCTTTCTGAATGGAGATTTAGAGGAGGATGTTTATATGGATCAACCGGTGGGGTTTATTGAAGAAGGAAGAGAGCACATAGTGTGTAAACTTAAGAAATCAATATATGGAATTAAACAAGCTTCTCGACAATGGGATCTTAAGTTCAATGATACTATTCTGTCATTTGAATTTAAGGAAAGCATTGTTGATTGGTGTATATATCTGAAGGTCAATGAGAGTAAATTTATATTTTTTATTTTGTATGTTGATGATATCTTACTTGCGACTAATGATCTTGGTCTATTAAATGAGACTAAGAAGTTTTTCTCTAACAACTTTGAAATGAAAGATATGGGTGAGACATACTATGTAATAGGAATAGAAATATTCCGTGATAGATCACAAGGACTGTTAGGTTTGTCTCAGAAAACATATATTAATAAAGTTTTAGAGAGATTTAGAATGGAGAAGTGTTCAACATCTCCCTTTTCAATACAGAAAGGAGACAAATTTAGTCTCATGTAATGTCCAAAGAATGACTTGGAACGGAAATAGATGAAAAATATCCTTTATACATATGTTGTTGGGAGTTTGATGTATGCTCAAACATTTACGAGACCGGATATTAGCTTTGTAGTTGGTATGTTGGGTAGATACTAGAGTAATCTTGGAATGGATCATTGGAAAGCTGCAAAGAAAGTCTTAATATATTTACAAGGAACAAAGAATCACATGCTTACTTATAAGAAAGTTGATCACGTTGAGGTGATTTGATATACAAATTCAGATTTTGCTGGTTGTATGGATACACAAAAGTATACATTTGGTTATGTGTATCTTTTAGTCGGAGGAACGATTTCATGGAAAAGTGCGAAATAGTCTGTCATTGCTGCATCCACCATGAAAGCCGAATTTGTAGCATGCTTTGAGGCCACAATTCAAGCTAATTGGTTACGAAATTTTATTTTAGGACTTGGAGTAGTCGACAGCATTGCCAAACTGCTGAAAATTTATTGTGATAATTTTGCAACAGTCTTCTTTTCTAAGAACGACAAGTATTCCAAAGGGACTAAACATATGGAATTGAAATACATTTCCTTTCATATAACACTGATCTTATGATTGTTGATCCTTTAACAAAGGGATTACCGCTCAAGTTGTTTGTTGGACATATAATGAATATAGACATTATGTTTACTAATAGTGAATGTTGAATGTTAATGTTATTATTAATGCTTATGTGACACTTTGAGATTTTTAATGTATAAGTTTCTAAAATTTGTATTTTCTTTATTTATATGCATGCAAATTATGATGAAGAAAATAAATTATGTTATTATTATTGAGATGATATTATGTTTGAACCCATTATGAAATTCTCATTATAAAGTCATATTAAGGAGAAAAATATAATATAGTGGTATATGAAAGGGAACATGTTGATTGAATGACATGTAACCGTCATGACTCTTGTTATAATTGTATATTTAATTATGAATAATGATAAAATCAATTTATGTAAGGTCCTTTAATGCGCATTATGGCTTAAGTATTAAATCTCGAATTGTTTGACATCATATAAGTCAAGTGGGAGAATGTTAGAATTAATTTAATTAATTAATTCTATTATGTGACTCATGTGAAATATAATGATGAACCAAAATGTGATTTAATAAAATATAAGGACCTATTAGTTATTATGTGAAGTCAGAATAAAATAAAGATAAAATAAAAACTTACGGTAACCAACTTGATGGAAGGTTATTAATAAAAAAGATTAGGGTTCTGTCTCTGGATATAAAGTTTTTTTTCACCATAAACCATCAGGAAAGCGTGAAAAGAGAAAGAAAGACAAAGAGATAGATTGAGAACATGAGGTTGGAGAAAAAAAAATTAAATAACATACTCTCTCGTAGATCAATGTTAGTTTTCTTATTATGATTTATGGATCATGTATGTTATATTGTGAAAATCAATAATCCAAATATCCTATAATTTTCTAGAATGAATTAATAAAATAGAAAAACTACAAATTAACTTATACATATCACTTTACCCATAATTTTCTAGAATAAATTAATAAAATAAAAAAAGTACAAATTAACTTACACATATAACTTTACTATGTAATGTTGCATATAATTTTCAAATAGGAAAATAAAGCGCTTATTTATGTTTAAAATATATTTACCTAAATAAAATTTTTGGAATTTATAAAATAGATAATATTAATAGTTACACAAATATTATTTATACTATTATTTAGGAAGTTTTTTTTTCATCGTTTATAAATTTATATTATTTTTTATTAAATAAACATAATTATTTTTATTATATTATTGTTAAAGAAGAATAAGAATATAAAGAAAGCTAATTATTATGAATAAAAAAATTATATTTTATATTTATAGAAGAGTGAAAAGAGAAGAAAAAGATATGATAAACATAACAGCGGAAAGAGAACATATATGATATTTATGAAGAGTAAATAGAAATATGTTATGTATAAAAAAAATTGAAAAGAATAATATAAAAAATTGGACTTAGAAAAGTATGTATAATAATAACTATATTTTCATATTACATTGATCCCTCCTCCTGAAATCCATATTGATAAAGTAAATTACATTGATAAAATTTGCTTTGAAAGTTCCTTGTTGGGCCAAAATTTGGGTAAAAAAGTGATTCAATTTTACTGTGGGCCGGACTGAAAGGCTATTCTTAAGTTGAATTTTGAAAAGCTGTGTATACCTAAGAGAGAAGAGGGAAGATGGAAGATAAGAGAAAAATCCATGGTGTAGGTTCCTCACTGGAAAACAGCATGCATGGATGATGGATGCGTAATACGTGAGAAAGATTTGATAGCATAGGTTCCTATAACTTAGCAAACACCAATCATGGAAGCACTACATGTGGCGTGAGAGAGCCAAGGACGAGTGCAAAAACTTTCCTTTTATAAAAACACTTCCAGGGGAAAAGAAAAACAAAAGAAAAAGGACAATAGATACAAAGATTGGTGAATCCCATATTCTGCATTGCCCATTTTTGGCAGAAGGAAATTTTCTGCTGCTATTACTCTTTATTTTCTCTTATTTTTTATAATAGTTATCAACCATATGAGATTTTTTTTTTATAACCAGGAGATGCTTATTCTAAGTTTCTTTTATTCTGATTATTAACATAGTAATTTTATTGGCTTCTCTTTCTCTTTCTCGATGTATGTTAAGAAACTGTGACCATGAATTAATCTGGCAAGAATGATAAATAATAATAGGAAAATGATATTTTCATAACCCAAATCCATACAACTCCTATAAACAACTCTCTTTTAATATTATAATAATAATTTTGTTTTATTTTTATTCAATAATTTTATAGATTATTATATTAATAAAAGTGAGTTGTATGATTTCTGGTTATGAAAATATCACCACTCATTATAATAATAAAGAATTTGCTCCAATTAATATATAAATAAATGAGGAGAGAGGGATATGATGAATACAATACTTAACATTTAATTTAATGTTTATAAATAGGAATACAATAATTATTAAATTCAAAAATGCAGGAGAACGGAGTTTCTTTTTAATAACAAGAACTCCGGGAGTGTAAATTTGGAAAAGTAGATATAAATGTAGAGCTTTTAAATTAGAAAAAAATTTACAAATATGGTTACAAATTATTTACCAAATAAATTTTAATATCCAAAATTAAATTCAATCTTATCAACTTAATGCACCTCTATTGGTTCATGAACATATAATTTGTATATTATGCTCCCCTTTATGATATATAGAAATATAATTCAGGTTTTCATTGAATAACCTGCACTACATGTACATACACCAGCACTTTTAAAGCAAAACAAATGAAAAAGTTCAATTTAATATAAAATAAAATTAAATGCTATGGAACTGAAGCAGGTTCTACGTTGCATTGGAACTTGCAACAAACCAAAAAAATTAAATAAATAACACTAAACTTTTCATCAATTCAGAGAATGTATAAATTTCTGAGCATTAGAATTAGAAGTAGAAGCCGTGTAAGAAACTGAATTCGTAAAGATGCTCTCTGCTACACTATCAATGTCTCTTACCTCCCTCATGTCTGCAAAGGCCTCGCTAGCCTTCTCCCGCCACACTTTTCCTTCCGGTAGTAGTCTTTCTCCAGTGACATTCACCAGCCTTCCACCCTCACGCGCTCCTCTCAAGCTGAGGTGCTCTTCACTCCCAAGCTCTTCCCATGGTTAGTGTTATTTTTTTTTTTGGTAGTCTTGTTTTGAGTTCTCTACATGACATTGTAGGCAGATTGACAAAAGGGTAACTATCTTGTTCATAAAGATTTAGTCTTTCACCATGATTAAATAAATTCTACTATAACTAGGTAAATGGGTATTATTTTTTTCTTTGAATGTGTTGTATCTCTGAAGGCAAAAATGATAAATGAATGGGTAAGTAACTTGAATGAAAAATTGTAATTTTTTCTCCATGTTTGAGTAGATTTTTTATATCCTGTGGTAAATCATAAATGGGTAGGTATCCTATGAAGTAGAACTATGCTTGATTGATCTTAGATAAATTAAGGAGTCTTCTGATATTTCTTCTTCCATTCATCAACATTTGGTTAATTGCTCTTATGGTGTCATTAATTATAACTTCTTTTTTTCTTTTTTGTTAATCTTGGACTAAACATGTATGATGGATACTACTTTTCCAGTCGAGGAAGGAGCAAAGTTTGTGGAGGCATCAAAGAACGGGAACTTGATTCCTCTCTGTCAGTGCATATTCTCTGACCAACTTACTCCTGTCCTTGCTTACCGAATTTTAGTTAAGGAAAACGATCGGCAGACTCCAAGCTTTCTTTTTGAGTCTGCAGAGCCTAGTTACCATGCTTCAAGTGTTGTGAGTGTGCTTTTGGTAGTTTTGTGATTTCAAATGGTTGAGTTGTATGTGTCTCTATTGATATTCAAGAATGAATTGATTGATTGCAGGGGCGCTATAGTGTTGTAGGAGCGAATCCAGCTATGGAAGTTGTGGCCAAAGAAAACAAGGTTACAATAATTGACCATGAATTTGGGAAGTTAACTGAGAAAATTGTTGATGATCCAATAATGGTTCCTAAAAAAATCGCAGAGGGTTGGAAACCATATCTCATAGATAACCTTCCTGATGCATTCTGTGGTAAGAATTCTGTGATCATAACTTAACTTAGTTGTACCAAGACGGGATATTGTCAAATTGTGGTTCATTGCTCATATAGACATGATGTGGATTTGAAATAATACGGTTGATTCTTATTTTATTTGATGTTTCATTTATTTATATATTCGTTAGTGCTGACATATGATGTGTGGGGTGTTTACAATGACAAACAACTTAAAAGATAACAAAATAAATTTGAGGTAAGATAAAAGGGAACATTAAATCGACTTGTCGTTAATGCTTTTATATAGTTTCTGTTTTTGAAATCGATTACTAGTTTAGATGATATAGTATCCGATTTTGAAATCTTGACTTTCTATGGTATTTGTCGTTAGGTCACTTATTTACATGTGAGCACTTTTATGCGAACTAGTGTGAAAGATACCTTATTTATATAGTATCTGTTTTAAAATCTTGTGGTTTTAGATGATATAGTAACTAATTTTACATGCCTGCGCGAGCACGTGTGTGAAAGATATCTTATTTACATGTGCGCGTGTAAATGAAAGCATGTGAAGGATACTTTATTTACATGTGTGTGTGGATTGTGTTGAAGATACCTCATTTACATGTGTACATTAAGGTTTGACGTATTTTATTTATATAAATATACTATCCATTGTACATTAACTTGTTTCAATTGTTTTTCTAGGTGGTTGGGCAGGTTATTTCTCATATGACACAGTTCGTTATGTAGAAAAGAAAAAACTACCATTTTCAAAAGCTCCAGAGGATGATAGGGACCTTGCTGACATACATCTGGGTTTGTATGAGTGTGTGATTGTGTTTGATCATGTGGAAAAGGTATATTTGTTTTCCCTTCACAAGTATTGTATCGACACTGGCATCTAGTTTGGTGTTTCTCACAAACTAATTTTTTCTGATCTTGACGTGTAGCTCGGTATTTCTAATTTGCAGTGCAGAGTACCCTTTTATCATTTTGAGAAAAACTCAATTCAGATCCTTACATAAACAAAATATTGTGATTTCTTTTCTTTTTATTGTTTTTAATTGGAATTTTGTTCATTGAATGAAGAAGAACAAATCTTAGCACTTTTAAGTGTTCATGAACATGATGTTTTATATCTTTGGACATATAATGATCTAATCACTATTTAAAGTGTAGAAATAGAGAAATGACTCTCCATTATCTAACTATTGTTTAACTGCATTGATATTGATTATGTTTAGGATACTTCAATATTTCTTTGTTACTGTATTGTGTGGAACAGAAAGCATATGTGATTCTTTGGGTGAGGATTGATCAGTACTCCTCCGCTGAGAGTGCTTACAAGGATGGAAAGGAACGATTAGAAAAATTGGTAGCCAAATTACAGTATGGTCAACCGTAAGTAATTTGTTAATAATTTTTTCCTCTAATGATGTACATGTTATGATTAAGTCAAAACTAATTTAAAGTTTGGTTTTAGTCCGATTTTGGCTCCAGGCTCGGTGGATTTACATACTCACCATTTTGGTCCACCATTAAAGAGGTCAACCATGACAAGAGAAGCATACAAGGAGGCAGTCCTTAAGGCAAAAGAACATATTAAAGCAGGGGATATTTTCCAGATTGTGTTAAGTCAAAGATTTGAACGAAGAACATTTGCTGATCCATTTGAAATTTATAGAGCACTGAGAGTTGTGAACCCAAGTCCATATATGGCCTATTTGCAGGTTTATTTTTGTGTAACATATGAAACTTCTTCCTTCATTAAGGGATCGGTTTGTGTCTCAACTCTTTCGTCTTCTAATGCTAAGTATTTCCTAAACAGGCCAGGGGATGTATTTTGGTTGCTTCAAGTCCGGAGATTCTTACACGTATAAAGAAGGTACATTCCATACATATTATAGATTTTTACATTAAATTATACTTCTTACTTGGTTACTGGTATGTTTGTCATAAATCTTAAAAGAAAAAGTATTAGGTTTGTTAAATTACTCTATTACTTATTTTAGAACATTTAGTTATGATGATTTTTTCACAAACAGAATAACATAGTGAACCGTCCATTGGCTGGGACAGCTAGAAGGGGAGGAACACCTGATGAAGATGCAAGGTTAGAAACCTTACTACTGAATGATGAAAAGCAGTGCGCAGAGCATGTCATGTTGGTTGATTTGGGACGCAATGATGTTGGAAAGGTTTGTGATACACATTAATTTTAATGAATACTCTTATTTCTTTGCACAATTATACTCCTTTCCATGCCCCAATCTAGAAATTGAATTGACTAATCCGAAGGATCAAGATATTTGATGACACCACTTGGAGTCATACCTACTTTTCTTTCTCAAAATATTCAATGTTGTAGCTGTTAATCCTTAATCTAAACCTGTGTATGTGTTTAGGAATAATAGATGCTTGTGTATCTTTAAGAAAGTTTTTGGATGATCATATGAAGAAAGTCGTATATTCTCGCATTCTCAAAAGATGGTTTATATGTTATGGTTTTGAGAACAAGAATTCTGTTTTGTAGGTTGCCAAAAGTGGTTCTGTGAAAGTGGAACAACTTATGAATATTGAAAGATATTCCCATGTAATGCACATAAGCTCAACAGTAAGTGTTATATGATATTCAATCATGTCAAAATATTAGACAGTATTGAATTCCATTTAGTGTTTAAACAAAAATATTGGTGTAGGTAACGGGTGAGTTGCAAGATCATTTGACTAGTTGGGATGCCCTGCGTTCTGCATTGCCTGTTGGAACTGTGAGCGGAGCACCGAAGGTTTGTGACTTTGATGTCATTTGCATGGTGTGAGGAGTGATGCATATTATTAATGTGATGGATGGTGGATGCAGGTGAAGGCAATGGAGTTGATTGATGAGTTGGAAGTGACGAGGCGGGGGCCATACAGCGGAGGCTTTGGATACATCTGTTTCTCCGGGGAGATGGACGTTGCTCTTGCTCTGAGGACAATGGTGTTTCCGACGGGAACTAGGTATGACACAATGTACTCATACAAAGATCTGAACCAACGCCGCGAGTGGATTGCTTACCTTCAAGCTGGTGCTGGTATAGTTGCTGATAGTGTCCCAGATGATGAGCACCAAGAGTGTCAAAACAAAGCTGCTGGTCTTGCTCGTGCCATTGACTTGGCCGAGTCCTCATTTGTTGATAAATGAATTACTACATACATACATACATACATAAAAGCTTCATAGAGAATGAACTTAGTTTCTTGTTTACATATATGACCATCACTGTTTTCCACACCATTCAATTATGTGAATGTGGAGAGAGGTGTATGTTTCTATAATTTCAAATCCCTTCAAAGGTAGTAGGTATGAACTTTGTTTCTAGTTTAAGTACATGAATATCATCATTGTTTCTTTAAAACTATTTCTTTTTTGCATTCTAATATGATAAATGTTTTCAATAATTCTACTTCACTTTTGTTTCCGTACCCATAAAATTCATAATCAGCATTTGATTAGTTAAATCTTAGTTTGTTAATTGTTAGCTGTTTCATTCTTGTCCAACTCAAACAAAATTGTCTTAACAACGGAAATATATGTATGAAAGAAAACAATGAAAATGCAGAGCAGAAAAGTGTTACACATTTATTCATTTTGATCATTTGTATATATTTATTACTAATTAATTTTGAAAATGAGAGGTTTATTAGTATATTGTTAATAAAAATGATTATTTTCTAAATATAATTTTTATTTTTATTAATTAACTGACAATAAAACTACTCATTGATTTCTTATGTTTATACTAATTATTATTCTAATAAGTAAATTCTTAATAAATGTAATTATTAAAAGATTTTTCACTATATTATCAAAATACAATATTAATTAAATTATTTTATTGAAATGATAGTCTTATTGAATAAATGTTATAAATAATATATTTTAAAAATATTATTTAAATATATTTATTTTTAAATTTATTTATCTAACTAAATCTTTTTATTACTATTATAAGTGATTTTTTTTTCTGTTCTCAAACTTTTTTTTCTTATTCATTTTTTTTTGTTTTTTACATCTTTTATTTTTCTCTCTTCTCTGACTTATTCTTTTAATTAAAAATATTAAATTTAAATTTATTAATGTATGTTAAAGTAATTTTTTTAAAATCTATATTAAAAAGTATCAATTATTTAAAATTATAATAATTAATTTAAAATTATTTTATCATAATAAATAAATTATTCATCTAATTAAAAAATATTAAATATTTATTGTTTTATTTAGTAATTTAATTTATTTATAATTAGATTAGATTATGATGATTAGTTGGATTAAGTAATTTTAAAAATTTATTTATTCAAAAATACTTTAAAATAAATATTTAATTATTTTCAATGTATATTTTAACATGTTTTTATCAAATTTTAATATAGTATTTTTAATTATAAGAATAAGAAAGAGTGGAAGAAAGAAAATGGAAAAAAGAAAAAATGTATGAGTCTAAATTAATAAATTAATAGAGATTTTATTTAAATAATTTTTTTAAATATAATATTTATTAGATTATAGTCTAATCATGATATTAATAAATAAATTCTTTAAAGATGTAATTAGTTAGAGATTTTTCATATCCACATTATCTAAATACTTAATTATATAGTCAAATTTTTATGTTGGCCTAGATTATTGAATAACCATATTATTTTTTTAGTTTTATCATTAGTTAAACTCAAGAATAAGGGATGATATAATATCAGTTTTTTTATGCTGACATCCATTCTTAATCGAGTGATGACACAAGCTAAAGCACTTAAAATTTTTTATATTTAAAGTATATAATAAAGCCTTGCACACAGGTCCTTCATATATGTTTGGTATTCATTGATATAGGTCAAAATATTTATGATGATTACTATTTAACTTAGCTTGTGTTTTTCTAGGAGTGATTATAGTGTCTTTCTGTCATGCAAATTCTTAAGTATGTTATTTCTGAATATATGAGTAAGAAGAATGTAAGAAAAGTTCAACATAATTATCCGATAAATTAGGAGCAACAAGATTTAAAAGAAAATGAGTGGTTTTATATTTAGAAAACTACTAAAACTATAATCACTTTAACCTTTTAATTCGCTCAGGGTTCAGTGAATGCATAAATTTCCAAGACTTTAGAATAAGAAGTAGAACAGAATTTACAAAGTTGCTTTTCGCAACAATTCCAATGTCTCTTACCTCCGCCACTTCTGCAAATGCCTCCGTAGCATTCTCTCGCCGCATGGTTCCTTCCGGCAGCCGTATCTCTCCGGCTACACTCATCGGCGTTTCACCCTCACGGGCTCCTCTCAAGTGGAGGTGCTCTTCACTCCCCAGCTCTTCCAATCGTACGTGTTTCTTTGGTTTTCGTAATCTTGATTTTTGTACTTAAAATTATGGCATCGGGGAAGGGTCAGTAGTTTCAATTGACCTGCTAAGTCCGCTGGCGAACCCCGTGACGGGACGAGCGAACTTGCCAACCCTTTTATTAATAATTTTTTTTATATACAATATAAATTTTTTTAAAAATATATAATATAAAAACTTATAAAAAAAAATATAAAAATATGAGTGTCTTATAAATATTTATAAAAAAATTTTTAAAAATACATATGTCTTATTAAAAAAAATTCATAAAATCTTATTATATCATAAATTTAAAATTTTATAATTATTTAAACTTACTTTAAAATTAATAAATTTTTTTTCTCATCATTTTTTTATTTATTTTTTAATAAAGTAAAAATTATATATTTCATATTTTTTTACTCTTTTTTATATTTATTAAATTATACATACATATATATATATTTATTATTATATAAATTTTATTTTAATTTATTTATTATAAAATATAATTTATTAAAATAATATATTAATTTATATTATTAACTTAAAAAAAATATATATATATATATATATATTAAATTATTGATAATGATAATTTTATTATTAAATTTATTAAAAAATTTGATTTAAAAATAATAAAATAAAAAATATCGCCTGCTAGTTCCGCTCTTTAACGAGAGAAATCAAGATCTATAAAGCATGATGAGTAGTCCATCTCACCCGGTTTTTATAGGCTAAAACGTGACGTACTTACCCTTTTACCATCTACATAAAACTATAGATAGAGAGAATGGCCAAAGGGTCAATGTCTTCTTCGTAAATATTCAGTTTTGTTCCATGTTTGGATAAATTTTACTAGGTAAATGGATATTGTCATTTTTATTATTATTAAATTGTAACTTTTATTCTAGAAAAAAAACCTGTAATATAGGTATTTAAAAATGTTAAAAATTTTGTAAAATATAATAAATATAACACTACAATTATTACAGTACTACAAATCCAAATTTCAAATAACATAAGATAAAAATAAAAAAATTAAATATAAATAAATAAAAGTATTAATACTTTAATAATTTTGGATATTGATGGACCTAATATCATGAACATATTGATAATCTTTTCTTAATGTTTGAATAAGTTCATCTTCTATATGCTGTGGTGAATGAGGGTATTGCAGGTTGATTGGTTTGATGTTATCACTGATTATAACATTTTTTAATATTGGACTAAATATGTATCTTGGAGGAAGGAAGGAAGTTTGTGGAGGGTTCAAAGAATGGGAACTTGATTCCTCTGTATCAGTGCATATTCTCGGACCTACTTACTCCTGTTCTTGCTTATCGGATTTTGCTTAAGGAAGATAATCAGCAGGCTCCAAGCTTTCTTTTTGAGTCTGCAGAGCCTAGTTATCATGCTTCCAGTGCCGTGAGTGTGGTTTTTGGCACTTCTATGAATTTGAGTTTTTTAGATGTTTGTGTCTTTACAAAATTCAAAACTTGCAGGGGCGCTATAGTGTTGTTGGAGCTCAACCCTCAATGGAGATTGTGGCAAAAGAAAATAAGGTCACCATTATTGACCATGAATCTGGGAGCTTAACTGAGCAAACTGTTGATGACCCTATTATGATTCCCAGAAAAATCTCAGAGGGTTGGAAACCCTCTCTTATTGATGAGCTTCCAGATGCATTTTGTGGTAAGAGTTCTATGCTCATACCATCTTTGTACCAATCACCTTCTTCTACAGATCCCTTATTAGAATCTCATGTTCTTAAATCCGGATCAATCCCTCTCTACAACCCATGAAGACACATGTTGTTTTCAAAGGTTGAATAGTTCTAATTTAAGTTTAATAAAATAACATTCTTACAAAGTAAAAATATAATAAATTTTATAATAATAATAATTTTATTCTTAAAAAATAATTATATAATTATGAAGATTAATATTATGATAGTGATTTATTAATATTATAAATATAGAATACAGTAAAAATAAGATAAAAAAATTAGTTATTTTTCGATTTTGTATACATTTTTTTCATTTTTATCTTAGTTTAATTAGAATCCAAGTATATGAAAAAGCAACAAAGTGAGTCTGGATGGGGATATCAGGCTTTCAAAACACAAATCTAACCAAGCCGCTCCTCTTAATACTCGTACAGATTATTCCACTAAAATAAAATATCTATTTTTAATAACTATTCAAAATAAGTTAATTAATAAATAGGTATTATTAGCATTTTACATATACTACGATAACAAAAAAAAAAAAAAAATCCTAAAAAATTTACATTCTTTGTCCTCCAGTTACATCTTATTTATTTTTTTATTTATCGTATGTTAGTATTTGACATAATTTTTGTTCATCTAATTATGTTATCCATAGTGCATTAACCATTCAAGCTACTATTCTAGGTGGTTGGGCAGGTTATTTCTCATATGATACAGTTCGGTATGTGGAAAAGAAAAAGCTACCATTTTCAAATGCTCCAAAGGATGATAGGAACCTTGCCGACATACATCTGGGTCTCTATGAGAATGTGATTGTCTTTGACCATGTGGAAAAGGTATCTGTTTTTTCTTCGCGATCTAACCTGGTAATTCTTACATGACAGTCTTTTGTTTCTAGCGTTGACATTTTCGTTTTTTCTGGTTTACAGTGTAGCCTCTTATCATTTTAACAAAAATTCAATTCATTGATTTCTTAAACAAAGATGTAGGATTGCATTGACATGGATTATGTTTAGGACTCATTCATAACTGCATAACAGAAAGCATATCTGATTCTTTGGGTGAGGATTGATCGGTACTCCTCGCCAGAGACTGCTTACAACGATGGAATGGAACGATTACAAAAATTAGCCACCAAATTACAATATGGTCAACCGTAAGTCATTTGTTGACCGATTCTCTCTCCAATGCTGTATGTTATGGTTGAATCAAAATTAATTTGGAATGTGCATTTCCTAGTCCAAGGCTGGCCCCGGGCTTTGTGGATTTATATACTCAACATTTTGGTCCACCATTGAAGAAGTCGAGCATGACTTGTGAAGCATACAAGGAGGCAGTTCTTAAGGCAAAAGAACATATTAAAGCAGGAAATATTTTTCAGATTGTGCTGAGTCAGAGATTTGAACGAAGAACATTTGCTAATCCATTTGAAATTTTTAGAGCATTGAGAATTGTGAACCCAAGTCCATATATGGCCTATTTGCAGGTTCATTTTTGTTCATTGTCTAAAACTGCTTCCTTCATTCAACAAAGTTTTATGGCTTTGCCTTTTCATCTTCTGATAATTATGTATTTCCTAACCAGGCTAGGGGGTGTATTCTGGTTGCTTCAAGTCCAGAGATTCTTACTCGTGTAAAGAAGGTGGGATTCTGTACATTTATTAGATTTTTATATCTATTATACTTCTTACTTGACTACTGCCACCTTGGTCAAAAATTAAATAAAATTATATCAGGTTTGTTAAATAACTCTAATTTATTTTAAGACAATTAGTTATTAAGATTTTTTTTCATGAACAGAATAAGATTGTGCATCGTCCTTTGGCTGGCACAACTAAAAGGGGAAGTACACGTGAGGAAGATGCAAGGTTAGAAGAAATACTGCTGAAAGACGAAAAGCAATGCGCAGAGCATGTGATGTTGGTTGATTTGGGACGAAATGATGTTGGAAAGGTTTTATTATATATACATTTCATTTTAATGGATACCCCAATTTGTTTGCATAGATATTCATGTTCAAGGTGTCTTGAAGAAAAAACTTGCTCAATTACATTGTTAATTTAAAGTAAATACGACCTATCTTGTTTCTTATATTGTATTTAGTCTATATATAGTATAATCTCTTCCATTCGATATGAAGTTTACATTACACCAAAGTATGAAATCGTGCAAGTTTTCTGAATTTGTAGTCTAAGTGGTCTTTATTTCTTTGTAACAGACTAATATTTTAATTGCCTGATTTTGTTACATATCATGAGGCAGAAAAAACTTGTTTGTATGATCAAATGAAGAAAGTAATTTCTTGTGACATTCTGAAACGAATTATTTTTGTAGGTTGCAAAAAGTGGTTCTGTTAAAGTGGAACAACTAATGAATATTGAACGATATTCCCATGTTATGCACATAAGCTCAACGGTAAATGTTAGATGGTATTCAATTTAGTATTGAATTGCATGTTTCTGTCAGAACAAAAAATGTTGATTATTTATTGTAGGTAACTGGAGAGTTGCAAGAGCATTTGACTAGTTGGGATGTCCTGCGTTCTGCATTGCCTGTTGGAACTGTCAGTGGAGCACCAAAGGTTTGTAACTGTTGGAATAAGATTGTTTGGAAGAGGTTTGTGTCTGAAAGAGTGATACATATTAGTATAATGTGATGGATGGTGGATGCAGGTGAAGGCGATGGAGTTGATCGATGAGTTGGAGGTGATAAGGCGAGGGCCTTACAGTGGAGGATTTGGATACATCTCTTTCTTTGGTGAGATGGACATTGCCCTAGCTCTAAGGACAATGGTATTTCCGACAGCAGGTAGGTACGACACAATGTACTCCTACAAAGATCCCACCCAACGTCATGAGTGGATTGCTTATCTTCAAGCCGGCGCTGGTATAGTTGCTGATAGTGTTCCTGCTGATGAGCACCAAGAATGTCAGAACAAAGCTGCTGCTCTTACTCGTGCTATTGACTTGGCTGAGTCAGCATTTGTGCATCAATGAATTCAAACATCCCATAATAATGTAGTCATAAGCAAATACATATTAAATCATTACAATGGTTATCTTTCTACAACATTATAGTCATAAGCACCATGAGTTCTCTTGTTTGTTTGAATATTATGTTTTGTTTTCTGCGAAATAGAATTCAAGCACTAACAGTTTAGGTGGTTGAATACTTAAATATCTTGATAACTGCTGCTGATGAAATAAAGCCAAAGTAGTGAGTGTTTGTTCGTTTCTTTAGCTCAGTGTCCGGATCACAAATAGTAATGATTTTAAGTATTTAAGAATGAATATTAAATCATTTTATATTTAATTAAATAAGTTTTTCTCATATTGGATGTTGGTCGGTTGCCGTTTGAAAGAGGCTATAGAATTCCAAAAACATTTTAATCTGAATTTACTAGTTTTATAGATGTTGTGTTTCACGAGTTAATGGCTACTTACATAAACTCATTTTGACAACAAAAAATTATTATGAATTCATGTGCTTGACTCTTAAAAACTTTTGTTTAGTTCTTTGCCTCTAAAGTGTACTTGACTCTAGGTAAGTTTTTTTTTTTTTGTAAATTATTTTAGTATTTGTGATTATGTTTGAATTGTTTTTAATAGTTAATTTTTTTAATCTGCCTATTTTTTTTATTTACTTTTAAATAAATGTTTTGTTGGTTTGGAATTGGTTTCTTTTAAAAATGATTTCAGGAACTAGTTTATTTTTAAAACTAAAACAAAATAACAAAACAACAAAATAAAAGAATATCATACAAAGTAAAAGAATCAAACAAGCGTTTTTTAAGAAACCAAAAATAATATATATAATTATATTTCAAAAACTACAAATTTTTTTTTATCCATAATCTGTTTTAAAACACAACTTATAACTCAATAGCAATTAAAGTCTTATATTTTTTTTCTTTTTACAAAACAATTATTTTAAAGTTGAAAATAATTGTGTAATTTTTAAATATAAGTAAATAGTAACTGACAGTCACGACTCTATTTAAAAAATCATAAATTAGTCGTAACTTATCCAAATTTTAGAGAAACTTCGAAGGCTATATCCATCCACTTCGCTAATTGCCAAAAAAAAAAATGGTAAAAAGGCCTCACCCTTATGCAAGAAACAAATCATTGAAAATGTACAGTTAATTCGTTTAATTACCTTAAACAGTAAATATAATGAGCATCGCCACAATTTCATAGAAACACTGAACCCATTCGCCCTTTCCTCATACGTTAAATCAATCACTTGAATTTATTTCAATGTATATAAATCGGTTAATAACCAACACATAAATCTCAACCTCGCCTACGGTTAATTTTTAACACATTTATTTCACAAATTCTGTTATTTTTTCATCCATTCCCTGCTTAGGCTTATAATGCTGTCAAATTGTGAAGCATTCACATTGACATGACATATGATAAATATCTGGCTTTCTGGTTTCCAGTTAATAAGCTCAATTTTCATAAATGGAGATAAACCTCGTGTTGTTTAAAAAATGAGCATTACCGCTACAACAGATAACCCATCATCTACTTGAAATCAGAGTACCTCCCATTACATGAGGTTACATTACTTCCAAGAAGCTTTACATTAGTACAAGCGTGGTTAGCTGAGCTCCATATGCAAATCCGATATGGCTGAAACCAGGATAAGAACACTGGTGCTATTTAAATATGCAGAATCCCCCTAAGTGCGAAAGGTTTACCTTCCCCGAACACTGGCAGGGGATTGACCACATCTCTCACTGCCAATATCATCATCTACTTCACTGCTATCTAAACAAATTCCATTTTGGTTAACGCTCAGTTCAGAACTAGCATTACTGCTTGTGGCATGAGGAGAGCCTGAAACACTGATTGTTCGGCCATGATGAGATCCAGACCTCACGCTATACAAAGAAGATGCTGGAATATTTGTCATTAATGGCCGTAAATTGCCTGGAATGGTTCTCCTTATATCCTATTCAAAAAATAAAAGTTCATCAGTTTCATAACTAATAAAATTGAATTACAGCACGCATCAAGAACAGGTAACTGGCAATTATGATACGATTCGTGATTTATATGCAGTTAGGGTATGACAAGTTTATTTTCATCAGGAAAGACAATAAATAGGATGAAGAAAAGATGCGCACCATATGCCTAATAGCCATATCCAAGGACTTCTTTGAAAGTGTTCTTCCAAAACCTGAGCTATCTGGAGATGAAGTTGACTTGCCGGATAGATTACTACGTGGAGAGTTTTTGTCATCAATCATTGGTGGTGCTAGTTTTCGCATATTTATTACCCTCTCAACCATTTTGGTGCCCATTAAAACTGGACTAACATTGTCATTTACTTTGGTGGTGCGCCCACGACTAACTGCCGGCATAGAGTTTCCACTGATATGAACAACGCCATTGGGAGCCCGTCCTCTTGAAGGAGAGCATGATTGTCGTCTGGGTCTTCCACTAGAAGAAGGCTCAACAGATGAAGACCTTGAAGTTGGTGCTCCAGGCCTGCCCCTAGTTGCCGATAGTGGCCTATCAGGTAATGTTGTTCTCAAATTAGGTGGGGCATCAAGTGAAAAACCTGGCATGTCAGACGGCTTCCATGGTCTTGATCTCACTGTTGGTGAAGTACCACGTGATGGAACTGGTGGCTGCCTTGAGTTCACAGGAGCTGGCTTTCTTGTTGTCACAGGAGTTGCCTGCCTTGATGCCACAGTAGCTGGCTTGGGGCTCAAAGAAGCTTTAACTGAAGAAGTAGATATACTGGGTTCACTTGACGGTAAGGAGGGTCGCCAGGTTGGGGTAGATGCTCTTGATGTGGACCTGGAAGGAGGTAATGTAGGCCTGCTAGTTGGTGTAGAAGATCTTGCAGCAGATCTTGACAAAGGTGTAGAAGATCTTGAAGGAATTGTGGATTTAACAGCAGGGACTGGAGTCTTAGTGGCAGAAGTCAAAGGCTTTGTGGTAGAAACTGCAGGTTTCATGGTGGAAATTGTGTTCTTGGATGTAGCAGCCATGGACCTAGTTGAAGGTAAGGTAGATCGTGTTGGGGTCGAAGGTCTTGATGATTTTGAAGATGCAGTTAGTGTAGGGCGCCCAGTAGGAGTTGCAGGTCGTGATCCCGGACCCCCTGATGATGAAGGTCTCCTAGTTCCACCACTTGAAGAGCTCAACCCAGGAGAGGAAGAAGGTTGTTTAGATACTAAATTAGTCTTCCCAGCAGGCTCTGATTGATGATTTGATAACTAGAACCACGAGGAAACAATTAAAAAAGAAGATTGAAGTCCTTACGCTAACAACTGGTCAAGCTAACTCTCACTTGGATAGATCAGTGACATAATGGATCAATCAATGCCCCAATGGGTCTTTACTTTGGGAATGACAAAAAAGATAGTGTGATAATGTTTATCACTATATAAAGTGAAAAAATAAAATAAACAATTTACTCGAATCTAAAAGTCTTAATAATATTTGATGCAATGTGATACTTAGATCTCAACCAAAGGATGTTATGGAAAATCCATAAAACATACAACATGATGAGAAGCTACTTTCATGTAGGCCAGGGAAAAGTGAATAGCAAAAAATCATATAAAGTCAGTCATCAGTAGCCTAAAATATACAATAACACTAACAAAATTTATTGATCACATCAAACAAATCTACTACTTTTGCTGAAAGTCATGACATAACCACATTCCTCATGCACACAGCATAATATAATAATAAGTTTTCTACGACCAAAAATTACAAAGAAAAGTACCATTCCATTAGTCACTTCAAACCAAACACAAAATATGTACATCCACTAATGAAATAATTGACATGATATGAAAGCTTCATTGAAAATGCTAACCCTGGACTTTAATGCTACAGGACGTGTAGTTGGAGTAGCAAGCTGACTCATAACAGTCTTTCGACCTTCCATTTCCAAAGAAGGAAAAAGAGGAGTACCAGGAGGAGTGAGAAGCCTGAAACACATTAAACTTGCTAAGCACCAATTTGAATAATGCTACCTATGAATAAGCAAAAAAATAAATAAATAAAACACATATTAAGGAGAGCAGTTAAGTACATTAAATTTTACTATTCTCTTAATAACCTCGTTGATTCATTATATCTTCCTCTTCTAAAAGTACTTACTGAGTAGTTCATTCACATCGACTCTTAATTAAAGGCAATTTGGTTACTTAAATAGCAATTGAACTAAAAGATAAATAAATTATCTGAAACAGGAGATGCAGAAGCAACAGAATATTTTTGGTAATTTCAGGATATTTTAACTTATTTTTGCAGCTTAAGGTAACTGTACTACGACTATAACTAAAAGAATGTCATTAAATAGCCTTTATTATAAGCAAATATAATTACATTAGACTGAAATATTGATATGATCCAAATATATTTAGCACAACGAAAATATCTTCTTCCATTTGCTAATATCAGGGTAAAAAATTACTACCTCATTAGTTCCCACACCCAGCTCTTGATGATTTTCTTTATACATTGAAGCAAATCATACTACGTGTCTTACATTTTCATTTTGCTTTTTGCTGTGAGAGCATAGGCAAACAAGCTCAAACCCATGGTACCAAATTTATTCAGAGAAGATTCTATCATCAGATGATAGGATCGAATTGCAAGGTATGGGAATTGAGTCCCACACTGGAAGTATGGTTCACCCTAAGGTTCTTATCATTAGGTAACCATGTCTCTGAGATGCAATAGAGCAAAATGTGTTAAGTTAACACGGGTATTGCACTCTTTGCCTGGGATTCTAGCGTGGGGTAAGGTCTTGGCCTCTCCAACTACAAAACTAGCTTTCATGGTGTGATTCTCCCAAAGTTCTTATCAAATACTACCAACAACATTGTTTAAATTGAAAAGGAAAGCCACAAAGAGTTAAGAAGGAACATAACTCCAAAAAGGAATGCACTATTCATATGATATGACAAACGGTACAAAAAATATGTACTATCAATCTATCATAACAGATACGCGTATCGTATCCATGCATCATAGACCATCAGCTGCTTCAAAAACATAAAAGGAAAAAAAATGAAAGAATTCTCCGTAAGGAAATGCTCTACATACACACTAAGCGAGTCAGTGAGGAATTCTAAAGTAAAGCAAGTTAAGAACTCAAGAAACCTCAAGCCTCTCGTATGCATGAGCTAACGAGATTAGGGGGTCACGCCTATTATTGATGCCCTCTAGAAACCACTATATTAGGATACCATATAGTTATTTATACCACAAAACTCCATTATTGCACTAATAAACACATGGAATCAAAACGCTACTAGAAGAGTACCACATACCAGTCATAGTCATTCTTATCATTCTCCGAATTGAGAAAATCATCAACACCGGTCTTCCTCACAGGAGCAGGAGTAGAAGAAGAAATGCTAAATATGGGATTAGCGCCAGCATTCGACCCTGCAACCATGAAACATAAACATAACAAACAAAAATCCAAACAACACAATCATTTTCTAGCTCTTCACCCACTTAAACTAACTAGTTCACATCTCGTCTCAGTTCACTAAACACTGCACATAAGCAAATCTTTAAAAATCTCACCCCAAAAACATATAAAGAAACTTAAAGTATAAATCTATACCTAGAGGTGCATCGAACTCCTCGGAGCTGTTGAGCAGAAGATCATTCCGCTCCTTCTCGCGCTTCTTCATCTCCCGAAACATTGCGAGTTCCTCCTCCTTCTCCTTCATCACCGAAGCCCTAAAACCCCCAAGTTGCTGCTCCCTACGCTTCAATGCAGAGTGCATTTGCGACTCCTGAGCCCTGAAACTCCGATTCATCCCCAAAATCCAGACGACACGAACCCTAAATTACCAACCGAAAAACCTAACTGGGTTTCTCGTTCACCACACACAAAAATGACCAGTAAACAAGGTTTTCTACACAGCGAACTCTCCAAAAGCATAGAGAAAAGAAAGCACTGAATCTCTAGTGAAGTTCAAATCTCATTGAGAAAAACAAAACGCTGGCAACTCGAACAGAACAACATTGTCATAAAGAGATAAAAAAAAATAAAAAATAAAAACGAAGCATGTCCTAGAAAACGCCAACGTCGCGTGGGGAAGGTGGGAGAGAGAGGCGCGTGGGGAGAGGGATCGGAATACGGGAAGGTTGAGTTTGACGGTGGAACGAGAGACAGTGGCAGTGAGTGGTAAATGAGTAATTGTTGAGATGCACAATTGGGAATATATTGTGGATATAGGACACCGTAGAGATGGTGGTTCCTATCGTTTGATGGCACGTTTCATGTTTTGGTGTATAATCACCAAAATACCCCTCCTCTTGGGACTCCTATTTTTGAATTTTAGTAACGGTGACTTTGCTCCGAAGACATGCACCATCCCCTATTTGAATATTTTAATGAGCTTCATATTTATTGCTTAAATTAATCACATCAAAACAAAATTTATTTGTTTAAAATAAAAAATGTCACGTGAAATTGTGGTTACGTCGTTCATATATTACTCGTAAATGTAAATGTAGTCTGTTTTTGGTATAATCCACTTACTTACAAGGTCGCTCCAAACACTATAATTAAAATATTCAACTTTTCTAATCTTTTTCCACCATTAAACATTTTTCAGATTTTCCAATGGGTGTGAAATGTTCCACAAATTGTTATTTAATATATGTTGTGTGTGTGTGTTTGGTATTTTTATTTTTTTCAGTTTGTTTTTTCCTTCTATTGTAAAAGTCATGCCCACCATAATTGTAAATTCCAAATTTTACCTTGTACAGATAAATGTGACCTTACATAATTCAAAGCTATGTAATAAGTTTTCACTATATTTGGAGAAAAACTAGCAAAAATTGTTATTATTGTAACTCTGAAAAAAGAGCATTAGTAGAAAACTACCAACGGTAGCATTCCTCTGCAGGCATCTGTCTCCAACTTGAATATTTTGACAAGCTTGATAATTATTTGCTAAATTAATTAATTATTATATTATAAAACTATTGTTTTTAATTTAAATGAAAATGTCAGGTGAACTTGCGATTACATTGTTTATGATACTGATATATTATAAGAGTTAATGTTAGGTTCACGCTTTCTGTTAAAAATATACTCGGATGACTATAAAAGATAATACAATATTTTTTTTATTATTGGTAATTGTATTTAAAAATTTATCTTTATATGTACATTTTTTTTAATACACTTTTCAATAATCAAGGTTAGTTATTTTTCTGGAGACCCTTATTACAAATATTCATAAAATTGAAATGATTCAGTAGACTAAAAATACAAAGTTGTATAATTTAGGGCATGCTTACAAGTAACAATTTAAAGCATTTATGATATTAAGGGATAAAATTCTGATATATTATTCTCCCTCTTTATTTTTCTTTAATCTTTTTATTTTTATGCTGATAGTCATTAATATTTTTTGTCCTTATCCTACCCTAAAGAATCTCTAATTGAATTTTAAGCTGAGTATATTAATAAGTGTGTCTTTTAGTATTACACTTTATGAGTATTAAGAATAGTGGCTCTCTATTTAATTTATATATATTATTATTGATTTGAAAACAAATTCTCAAATACTTTTGTTATCAATTATAAAATCTCATTTAAAATTTTGATTCTATGTTTAAATTTTATTGAAATGATAACAAATATTCAAGTCAGTTATTAATTCATTAAGAATCATTAGGAGAATAAGAGTTTCTACAGAATTTATTTACATTCATATAATTCTCAAATAGAATGAATAGATATATATATTTTTTTAAATGTCTATTAAAAAAATAAAGATAATGTAATACAAATGGCATAAATTTAATTTAATTTAATTTATTTGTCCTTATAATATTTTTTCACTCACTTATTCAATTATAAGTAATTATATAATAAAATTATTAGTTTTAATACCAACTACTTTAACAATGAATATATAATTAATTTGCGCTATGAATATCCGTGTGTAGAACCAAAATATAAATCACTGTTCTAATCACACGGAAGGTGTTGCTGTCTGTTTGACGTTGACGGCTTCTTTCTGTGCCGAATTGCGTAATTATTTAAATCTCCAAACAGACAAAAAATTGGAAAACTTGGTCGAAAGAAAGAACCCTCTGATTAAGAAGAGTGCATTCACATAGTTGAATATTGATTAGGACGACGTCGTTTTAACTCAAAACCTCTGAACCAAGGGCGACGAGGAAGAAATGGCGAGTAGCAGCAGTAACATGCCGAAGGAAAGCGTGGTTGTGGATTGCGGAAGGCGTCGAACGTCTTGCGGCTATTGCAGATCCTCTCGTCATAATAGCATCTCTCATGGTCCCTTCCCTTTCTCTATCTTCAACTTGATTGTTTCGTGAATTGTCCTTTTTTTTTTAATTATTTTATAAACTGAGTTTTTGGCTCTTAATTGAATTCCGTGAGTTTCTCTTTTTCCTCCGTCAATTGTTGCGTTTGACTGTTCTCATCAATTGAAGAAGTAGTTGGTTTGGTTGATAGAAACAAAGGATATTCTGATCAAAACGATGACGTCGCCTTGCATAGTTAGTTAATCACTTAATCCTGCTGTGACTATGTGAGCTTAGACAATGATTTTCATTATTTGTTCAAAGGTCATCTGTTTTTCGATTTTTATTTACTTCAGTATTCATATACCACTGAGCCAAGGACTCTAGTACAATTAATTCGATTGCTCTGAATAGATTATAAAACATTTGTATTGTTGATAGACATCTTAACTGTCACTTTGCATTTTGTCATGACCATACGGTTTGTAAATGGATGACATATAAGGATACATACTTCTGCTAAGCTTGGCGATAGCACCAAGTTGTTTGTCCTTTGTCGAATTGTGGGTGTTTAATTTCCCATTTGGAGAAGCATGCATTTCCAATAATATTGATAGATAGATGGGAGTAAATATCATGTTTTGATTGTTTTCTTGCCTTAATGTATATCATGCATCTCCAGACTTGCATTCATGTAATGAATCAGTTGTCTAATTAGTTATGTTTTTCCCCTCTTATCATATAGGCATGTGGGCACATAGCCTTACAGTGGAGGACTACCAAGGTCAGTACAGTTTGTTCTTTGCTTATGCTTGACACTCTACTCAGTTCTATATTGCTTATTTTTTGCATTATCTAATATCTAATTTCCAACTATGAGTAAAAAAATTCTCGAGGCTCAGATTAACAAGCCTGCTTTTTGCATGATGAAGTTTAGTTATGTGACATGCTTTGGAACGTTGCAAATCAAAATCGATGCTTGTGTGTTTAATATTCGTTGAAGGGTTGATGTGTGTAATTAAAAAAGTTTTAATAAAAAGCTTCCTATGTAAGTTTTTCAAAAAATGATTATTTCTCCGCAAAAGAAATGTTCTTAATGAAACTGATTACTTTTTAATTGAAATGATGATCGTTGCTTGTTCAATTTTTTTCTCCCTTCTTTCTTGACCTTCACATTTCATTATCGTCCAAACTTCTGTTATTGGAGAGATGTGTAGCTTTTATCACAAAGCTGTTGGTGAATAAAACTTTGATTTGATAGCCTAAATGGAATTGCTGGTATTATTTTGTTCAGATTATTTCAATTTCTCTTTATTTTCTTTTGCTAGATCTTCTTGATCGGGGCTGGAGGAGGTCTGGATGTTTTCTTTATAAACCAGAGATGGAAAGGACATGCTGCCCTTCTTATACAATTCGCTTGAAAGCAAGTGATTATTTTCCCTCCAAGGAGCAACTTCGTGTATCTAGACGAATGCAAAGGTATACTTGTTTCATATGATGTTTCTTGAGGGTTTGAGGCCACATTTTTTAAATAAGAAATGTTGAAATTTGAAAGTGTTAATATTTATTAAATTTTTTATAAGTTTAGATGTTTTTTGAAGCATCTTTATAGGCACAATATGCGAGGAAATTTAAAATTATTTTTAAAAAGTAAAACTTCTTTCTAACTTTCTTCTATTTTCTTTTGGGGGGGTAGGGATAAATTACGGGTGAAATTTGAAGTGCATCAAGATATATTAGCTTAAGACGTTGCCTCTCTTTTTCTTTCCTTCCCTTCATTTATTTTCGTGGATGTTGTCAATTAGGTAGAGTAAATTGGAATTGTATTTTAATAGTACAGGCAGTTCACTTTATTTGACATTTGTAACGCATAAACATGCACATACTCTTTGTTCTATCCTTTTCATACCAATTTCTATCTACGTAGGTTTTTGGATGGAGCCTTGGACGTAAAACAAGTTGAGGTTATGGAGGATTATACTTCAGCCAAATCAGAAAACCACTCCAAACCTATGTCAGAAGAATCCCTAACTACTGGCAATAATGACAAGGATGAATTTGAAAAATCTCTGCATTATTTATCAAACCAAATCAATAATGTGATACACATTCTTATTGAGAAGGGGGAATTTCCCTCTGGTTTTGAATTACCCAAAGCTTCAGTAAAATTAGTTTCACCGGGAAAAAGAAAGTTTCTAGTCAGTGGATCTGAAGATCTCTTATACAGTAGCAATATAGCCTTTCAAATTGCAGCCTCTATAAAACGAGCACAATCATGTGACAAGGTTGGCAATGATTCCAACCCATCAAGAGTTTCTGAAAAGGAGAATGAATCATCTCCTAAAATTATTGCAGAAAAGCTAGTAGCATCGTTGGATCCAACAATGAAAAATTCTGATTTGTCTATCAGGGCTTGCAATGGACATATAAATTTTTATGCTTCTAGTGAGCAAGTTTCCCTGACCAGAAGTGTTAAAAATCCTTCAGGTCCTAAAAAGTCTAGAATGAAGCATGATATTGGAGGAAATGGTTTGATTGATCCTACACATTGTCAAGTAAAAAGGCGAAAGCTTGAGATCCGTTTAAACAGATCTAGTTTTGATCCAGAGGAATTTGCTTTGTACAGAAGATATCAGCTCAAAGTACATAATGATAAACCACAAAATGTCACAGAGAACTCATATCGCAGGTTTTTGGTTGATACTCCATTATTACAAGTTTTACCTACTGGTGATAGCACGGTTCCTCCTTGTGGTTTTGGCTCTTTCCATCAACAATATCTAATAGATGGCCAGTTAGTTGCAGTTGGTGTTATAGATATCCTTCCTAAATGTTTGTCAAGTAAATATTTGTTCTGGGATCCAGATTTTGCCTTTCTCTCACTAGGAAAGTACTCAGCGTTTCAAGAAATAGGTTGGGTGAAAGAAAACCAGGTTTATTGTCCTACTCTACAATACTATTATCTTGGCTACTATATTCACTCTTGCAGCAAGATGAGATACAAAGCTGCATATCGCCCTTCAGAGCTTCTATGCCCTCTTCGCAATCAGTAAGTTATTCCATTCCAGCGTGCTAATAAGACCACATCTTCATCATGCTTGCAATGTATTCTTGAATTTGAAGAGCATTTAGTTTGTCTGAAACCCTTGGTTTTGTTTTCAAGTATATCCATTCACCTCTTTGGCCACAATTCTTGGTTTAATCACTCAAGAAATAAATAATGTAAAACAAGTTGTGTCTAAGTATTCTTCTGGTATATATGTTACATAGGTCATACTATGTTTTTTCCCTGAAATTTGATCAGTTTTTCTCTGCTCCCTTGGCCCTATATATTATACAAGTCTGACAGCTATGATCTCCAGGTGGGTTCCATTTGACATTGCAAGGCCTCTGCTTGATAGAAGACCTTATGTTGTCTTATCAGATGCTTCCATTTTGCAAAATGGAGAGTCATCCTTACCTCAAATTACTGATGATATAGTGGGAAGGGAGATTGATGATGGTGGACAAGAAGATGCCAATGATGTTCCAATGCTTGAAGATGAAGAAATGGTTGAGTCTGAATCAGAATGCTCTGATGATGAACCTGACCTAGAGACTACTTCATATGATGATCCAGAAATTGGTGATGTCGGCAAGGTTTTGCTAGGGATAAAGGGGTCACATGTGAAATACAAGGTATGCTTAATGGTTGGTGAACAAATACTCTATTACTTCCTCCTACACTTTAAACACCTGATTGTCCTTAAATAGCATATAACATGTTTGACTTGCATATAACCAGCATTTTAACATGTTTGACTTGGAATAATGGAGGTGCTTGATTAACAAACGTATCTTACTAATTCATAGCGTATTCTCCAACGCTAGTTGAATAGCGTTTGAGCATATGATGGAAATGGAAAATGTTTAAACATGAAATGGTGAAAATAACATATAATATGTCCAGACAAATACTTAATTCTTTTTATGCTATTTTCACTTTTCAAATATTTTTACAGGTAATGGTGAAAATAAAGATGATGTTTTCATTATTTTGGGTACATATATTTGAAAAAAAAAAAAAAAGTGAAAACAACATTTTTGTAATTATTTGTAAAACATGAAATGAAAACAGATAATGTATTATCAAAACACAGAACAGGATTCCATGAGATACTATACTAGTCATTGATTTGGTAGAACTCTGTGTTTAAAAACAGCTAACTGCTGCCTGTACCTTTTCAGTCAGACTTAACCTTTGTCTAATTTTTTTGCTTCTACATATACTGCCCCTTTTCATTTCTGAAGGATCTGCGGATTGTCTTTGGTCCTGAGCAGCGAAGTTACTTGGAGTCACAATTGCGGAGATACCGGAAGGTTGTGGGTACAGTGCTATCTGAGCGAATGGTCTATTCTCTTGGATAATATAAATCTCAGTACTTGAATTTAATAAGATGCTACTGCCAATCTCCCCACGAAGGAAAAAAAAGCACTGCAAATAGAATTCATGTTTTCTTCTCCTGGATAGCCTAATGATATTGGCGATAGCAATTGTGTGAGCCCTGAAGTTTTTGGTTAAAAGATTGTTTTACTTTACATCTTTCATAATCAAATTTCTCATGCGTTTGCTTATGTGGAGTTCAACTTTTCCAGTATTAGTTAAGTTAATGCTTATTTGGATATTTTATAAGTCAAAATTATAAGAAAATGAAAGAAAAAAATATATATTTTGTAAGCCAAAATTAGTTTATGTATATATAATTATATAAAAATTAATCTCTTTACCATTAGTTTCCTCTAGATTTAAGTTACAGGAGTACTTATAAATGAGGAAGGAAGGAATGTCCTGATGTTAGTATATTCTTCATAGTTGTCGCAATCAATTCATGCATTACGAAATCAGATTCATAGGATTCATCCAATGTCGTTAGATCTAGGAATATGATTAATTTATTCAGGTAACGAGAGTAATGGATTTTAGTCAGTATTTTGTTTTTTTTTTTTTAGATTCTTTATCTGTTCTTTTTGTGGCTATATTATTAGACAGAGTTTGTAAATGATCCCAATGGAATATCGGAATTCTGTTTCCGAAACGAATAATTTTTTATTCATTTAGTTGGCAGGATTTAGCGTATTAACTATTAAAAAAAAAAAGTACTTTCTCTTTTGTTTTATTTTCTTATTTCTCTTTTCCTTGTTCATTGCATATTACTTTTTTTTTCTCCTTTCCATTTGTGCATCTCAATGAGGTATATCCATCCCCATAAATATAACAATGTGTTTAGATGAAAAAGGTTTAGAGGTTATTTTTTTTTTTTAGAGAATTTAAAAAAATCTTAGGGATAAAAATTATGTTATTTTTAGAGTATATATTCAGTAAAAGTTTTTTTGAAAATTTGTTAGGAATAAAAAATATTATATTTAATGTGGAATTTGATGTAAGTATTACTTGAAACAAGTGAAAATTACTTATACAAGTCACTTCTACCTCTTTTAATCAACTCTATATAAAACCTACATTAAAATAGTAATTTTTATTCATAAGAATGGATTCAAACAAAACTCGCAGGAGGATTGTTATTAGTGTGAAACCTTCTGATATTATTATTATTTTTTTATTGAAGCACCTTTCTTTGACAATAGAAATCTAGGAATTTTTTTATTACATGAAATTAGATATATTGTTTGAAATTATAACTTTAACTTCAGAATTTGCGTCGTTCTACAGTTATGAATTCCAATATGTAATTTTTTTTAAACAATTAAAGTATAGAATTATAATTATGATTTTTAATTTTGTTTTATCACCTCTCCTTAAGGTTAGTTATGAATGGGATCAAATAGGATTTGATGATGGACGTAACATGTGAGATTAAAATTGATGATTCAGATATTAAGTGTTATGAATAGAATATGGTTAATTTTTTACTTGTATTATAATTTATACAATTGGGTCTCGAAAATATTGGAACTCATCAAACTTTGTGTAAAAATTATGCTATGAAAATCCGAACTATGGATTCTTAAAAAATGTTCTTATTCACTATTCATAAATCTAGCCTTGTATTTGAATCTTTTTAATTTGATCCTTCCCTTAACGGCCTTGAATTGCTATATTCAAGTTAGACTGATTTTGAACGAAAATTTTGTATTTTTTGAAATATATATGAATGAAAAAACAACATAAGAATTAGATTGAGTTGATTGTGAGTACAGTTGATACAACTAAAATAAAAACACATTCTTGGTTGACAAATTAAAAGTTTTTAAATCTGGTATCAGTATATTTTATTTTTCTTCTTCAACATGCATGACCAAATTGACTCTAGAGTAAGGGAATCAACTATAGCTATCTCAAAAATAGGTAGAATTACTTTCCAGCCAGTTATGTTGACTTTAGTGGTATCATCTAATGTACTCGTGATGTTTACCAAACAGATTAAGAATTTTACCTAATGACCCACATATTAATGTCAGCTCAAATTACTAAGATGATATTCTAATTTTTGAAAACTGTATCACACAGCTAAGTTTTGTCCTTTAAGTATATCCCACTCAACCACAAATGCACCAAGACTTAGACACGTCAATATACATTTGACCATATTTTATTTGGCATCAGAATTGATGAAAATCAGTTTCAAGAAGAAACTAGAGTGAGTTCAACCCACAAAGTTTGGTTATTATACATTTTTTTCAGCAGTCTTTTATTTCAATACATTCTATTTAGAAATAGTCATAATCAGGGCACTTGAAAGGCTTTCTTCATCCAAATATGGTGCTACAAATTGAAAAAACAGGATATATTAGAAGTTTTAATGTGTACTTAAATAACGTTATTGACAACAGGGTTTGGCAATGTTGTTTTTGCGAAATTTCCTCCATAAATCCAAATTCATTGAACTCACAGGGTTAAGGAATGTACAATTGTTAACGGTAGGATGACTAAGCATCATCTGCATCACTTCCACCAACATTTGCCTCATGGCTGATCCAATAATTGCTTCCATCAGGACCCGACACTTTGTACCTGCTCAATAATAGAGCTTATCTAAACCACTACACACTAGACACTAAAAGATGACTTCACTGATTATATTATTATTAATGTTCTCACAGCATTTCTACTAACCGTTCAAGCACGGATTTCCCTTCCTTGTACTTCTGGTTTTTTTCATAGGCAGTTTCCTGAAAAGCATCATGTGAGAAACTAAGAACTACATAAACACAGGCAAAAAACCATGATGTTTGAAGCACTGCTTCATAATCGTACATATTGCCAACCCACGATTGATCCACAACCCACACAAAAAATGTCGGCAACGGTATGTAACCCAGTCATCATCAGTCTGTCCTCCATTTCTCCAATAGAAACATTCACACTAACAAAGAATAAAAGTTTAAACTGTATCTGAGAATAGAACCAACTGTATCTTGTGACCGCTTTAAAGGTCCAAGAGCCAAGTGCTCATGAATAACTTAACTGTTATGGTTGTTGGGCACACATGCAATACACAATCACCAAAACAGTTAATAAAACTGATAGCAGAAATGCAGTTGTGATTCACATACAATTGTATGATTTCCGATTTTATTGCCATGTACTAAATGCACACGAAAATTTACAAATGGACATTAATTGATGTATATCTTCAAACAAATATTCTCTCTACTTCTGTTGTTCTCCTTTTTAACACCTTAGGTGACACAGTACTACATTGCCAAGTTTTACTACTGATGGATGGTCTTGATTGATACAACAAGCGAATGTTTATCTTTGTTTCTCAGTATCACACAGTGATAAGGTGCCCAAAGTAAGGATAACTTACACCTTATTGAAGAGATAAGCTTTCCCATGTCTGCATTGGAATGTCTGAATATAAAACAAAGGAAAAAATGATAATCAGATTCGTATAAAAAAACTCAATTAAGAATTGGGGTCCTAGCAATAAATTACAAAAAAATATGAAAAGAATAAATTTTGGAGAAACTTAACTCTAGCAGCATTTAAAAAGTAATGTACTTCATATGACAATCCGTAAGGTGCGTAGATAGTGGCACTTGTGAACTGACAGAAACAGACTTCTATCTGATATTATTTATAAATGTATCCGAGGTAATAAATTGCAACACTTGAAGATGTATATATGCAAAATGCAACCAAAGTTTGACTAAACATAACTAAATGCACTAGAGGTAACAAGTTGCAACACTCGAAGATGCAAATTGAAGCCAATAGTGGAAGCCGATTGAGGTCTCCCTCCGTTCTAGGCCAGTAAAACAGGAACCTTGGGTGAAAACAACCATACTTGATTAATTAAAATGCTAGACAAGATACTCAACTCGATCAGTCTTCACCAACCAATATAATAAATATGGTGCAAATTCTAATGGAGAAGAAGAGCAATGTTACTTGTAGGAACATTCTTCGTAAAGGGGCAAGGAGGCCTAAATTATTTGCAACAAAATTTCAAAGAAATCGGATTTCAAATGGCTTTCCACACTTTCCCTGTGAAATTACCATGACTTATTTCAGCAGAAGGAAAAAAATATCTAAAAGGCATCTACCATTTCTCTGTATAAAGATATCCAGAAATTTATCTACTTTCTTCTCCACCATTTTCATAATAAATAAATAAACTCAGAAAAGCATAGCACGGATTTAATGTATTATAGTCAGAAGTAAAGAGAGAAAGACCACACCTCTCTAGACAATTCGGTCCATTTACCACAAAAAATAATCAATACACATCATAATCAAGATCTCCATGGCTTCAGGAGCATATGTTGCTAAATAAACAGTCTACAACCACCAAAAGCATGACATGAGAAGCAGTAACCATTTCAAAAGGCTGTTCTAAGTTGAGCGCTTTAAGCAAACAATTGGGTAAACAAGAACAAAATCTACATCTCCTTTGACAAAGGGTAACAATATCCTCATTTCCACCCGCGACTAGTAATTACACGTGTAAATATGATTAATTTTACCTCATTAGTAGTTAAAGTAAATGAATAGAATCGTATACAATTATCGAGTCGTGCTTGTGCCTAATTGTTAAACGTGTTTTACAAATGATTATGGCTTATCAGGATCACAAAGTTATTGAACTGTCTGGTGGTGATTATCTGTGCCGGTAGCAGTATTCTTTAACGGACCGAGTCTGGCTAAGTCAAAAATCAAATTTTTAAAGCAATAGCCAATCAAGGAACAGCAAAACATCACACAGCATGATGATCCATTAGAATTTTCAAAGATGAATGAAGAAGAAGGGGATTGAAAATGTAAGACCCAGAAAAGATAAGGGGGAGAGAAAAGAGGGGAAGGGATAAAGATGGCACCTTCGAGTAGATGTCATCGTAAAGAGCAAGATGGGTATGACAGTGTTTGCAGCTATAGATCTTCCCTTCCAGATTCACCACAAACAACCTCCCCATTAGTCTGCACAGTAACGACAAATGAGATAAAGGAACAAGAACAAGAGAGGAAGAATGCTTGAAGATTATTTACCACTGTTGTGTCAATTGCTACAATGTAGTTTAAACAAAAAAATTGTGGACTCAAAAGTGAGAAACTATTGTGTATTTGTATTTATTGAGTTTTTTAATGTTTGTAATTTCATATTTTGAAAGGCATAAGGCATATAGGACACTGTTAAGGTTGTTCATTTGGTTGATTTGTTATATTTTATTTTTTCAAGTGTTTATGATTCATATACACCATACCTACCTTTACACACCTTACTTGCACTTAAATAATATAAAATGGTTGATTCACTTGTCTTCATCATTATCAATCATAAACAATATATTCAGAAGTTAAATGAGTAGTGCAAGTTTTATTTTAAAAATCTTTGAGTTGTTTTGGAATTTAGTAAATTAAATGTGTATTTAAATTATGAAGGGTTTGATGTCTAAATAATGCTATCGTAAGAAAATTATATTGTGAATTATGAAGGGTATAATTTTTAATGAGTTATGAAGGATTTAATTTAAAAATAATGATATTGTAAGAAAAGTATACTGTTAATTAATGAGAAATCATGATAAGTATGAGCTAATTTAGAAATGTGTGAGTTTTTTTCATGCTCTTGGGACAGAAGTTACAGTATGTTGGAAGTTGAATTTTTTATGTATTTTAGTTGTTTCTTTATTTTATTTTATTTTTGGGAGAATTTTAGTTATTTCTTAATTAAACCTGAAGAAAAATGAATTTGAATTTTACTGTGAGGTTAGACAACGATGCGAAGAGCTAACATTAAAAAAAATATATATATTCACATTTACCCAAACACATTCTAACTAGTTTAAGGTAAATGAAGATGTTTTAAGTGTGTATTATTTTTTTGTATTGTTATGGTACCACGAATGTTTTGGGAATAATGTTTCATGGAGAATTTTAATAAATTTAAAATAATCAATGTATTTTAAAATGTTTACTTTATTTACTAAAACTATAATAAATTATTATTAGTTTTAGTAATGTAACATTTAAGCTAAAATCAAGCTACAAGAAAACACAAGGGTGCTACTAATAATTAACCCTAAGAAGCAATATTACACGTCACTTTTTGTCACGTTAGAAAGCAATTTTTGTGAAATACAAAGAAAGCACCATTCGTATGAAACGCACTTCATCCTATTTAATATAGAACCCAATTAAATTTACATATTAAAACATTAATACGTAAATTATTTAGATTAAATTGTTTAAAATTTAAACTATATTTTAATAATAGATACTTTTTTTATTTCTTCACATTCTTAGAAAAAAACATATTTAATTTAAATGATTGTTTTAATTATTTCTTCATGTATCATAAAAATATTTAATTAAAAGATAGTATATATTTATTTAATTTTTCAGACATATTTCTTTATATTTTAACTTAAATGCGATAATTGCATGCAATAAACGATATGAGTCATGAGCATCTTGTCTTTTTATATTATATATTAGAAAAAAATTGGTGGATGTAAAAGGTCAGTTAATACAACCATGTTGTACAAGTTTCGCATTTCATAGTTCATAGCTTTACTAATTCAATCAATATACTTTTATTACTATGCCAAGTGTAATTAACTCAACATCATGCAAATAATTTTTCTATTCCCTTTTGACAACTTGCACCTATTATGGTCAATAATTTTAAAGAACAAATGATAAGAAAACAATACTTTTTTTAAATCAAGTAGATCTTAATTATAAGTATATACGTGAAAGAGAAATCTTCACAATGTAATTCTTAATATATTTTTATCATTTATTAATGTATCAAATTTTTACAAATTTATTATTGAAGATAGGTTTCACAAAGTAGCCGGACAAAATATCATTCAAAAAGCATACAACAGAGTGCAAACATACATGCATGCATAAATTATAGGTAACAGTTTTCAGATACAGAAAAGAATTAATAAAATTAGAGGATAATGAAAAGTTTTGATTTATAGTAAAGTTATATCATATATATGTCACTTGTTGAAGGTGGCAATAAAACTGATAGGGCCTTTTCCTGTTACAGCAGCTTGAATGGCAAAGATGAGGAAGACCACCATGGCCAAGCGAGAATGCTTGATCTCTGCAAGTTGAAGTCTTGCTTTTTCTTCAGGGTCGTTGGCCAAACCCAGAGGGTCGAAGAATTTGCCTCCTGGATACAACCTTTTCTCAGGGTCAAGTTCTGCATTTCTTTGAAACTCTATGTATCCTATCACTATCACCTCGATCCATATCAGTGTAGTCAATGAAAATGGAAGAGGCAGCCCCAAGTAAGATGATCCTTCCACCAGCTCTACCTGAAATCCAGAGTTGCAAGAACCAAACAATTAGAATACACTTGTTATGTTTGTATTGCTCACAATAATAATAAACCTAAATTTTAGTATTCATGTCAATCATATTTTGTAAGATTAAATTTAGTGGTGAATATTGTTCACACAAAAATCCTTTCTGAATACAAGTTTTTTGAACTAAATGTCCAGGACTTGTGTGTCGTTTTGTTTGTTTAAGGAATGAGAGAACCTACACACATAAAGGCATTATATGCGACAAACCAAATAATAATGTGAAGTTTTGTTTTCATCCTTCATGGCCACAAGGGTCATCATCATCTTCACCCGTATAATCTGACTGCAGAGATTTTATAGAAAAGTTACATAATATTTAAATAAATAAAGAAATACAAAAAATATCATCAAAAAAAATATTTTCGTAAAACTTATTTAAAGTAGGTAAAATGTTAACATCTTTGAAAATGTCTAGATAATTCTTCCACCTTAAATTGAGATACCGTCTCCCCTTCACGACAAAGGTGAGAGTTGAAATTGCTTTTACAAATTAGATTTGTAAAATATTATAATAATTTGTTGTAAATATCTGGTCGCACTGAATGGATGCCACTGGATAACAATAAGACACGTCCAAGGTATGTTACTGTATTACGGTCACTGACATGGGGACCATGTCACGTTGGCTGAAACTCATACGCACAATACAACAAGACACAAACATCGTCATCCCACAAAATAAAATAAAATAAATCAACGTCTCCATGCAAATCCTATTGTCTCGTCAAAAAAGTTCAGCATCCAAGTTTCCACAGGCAGATCTCCGATCAATATGTCGTTAACCAAAGGAGAATCAAACAAATAAAGGTGTAAAATCATGTTAAAGTGTAATCACAGTTCACAACCACCAAGTGTTCGATATATTGGCTGGTAAAAAATAATGCGGATTTCTAAAAAATGGAGGAACCCAAAAGAGAAAGAGCAAAAGGGCATTGAAAAGCAGAATCAGTTTAAGGAAAGAGACACTAAATAAGTACCTTTCCGGCGTCTTGCCATGCGACTCCGGTGAGAGCCTCAACGGCCAAAGCTCCGAGAGCACCCAGCATTGCCCATCTTCCGTGAATGACTTCACACTCGCGGAACCTCTGAATCCCGAAAACCTCCGTGTAGGGTTGAAATGGCGTCGGTTTGACCTCCGCAACCTCCACCCTGGTTCCGATCACCTCGCCGGCGACGTTCTTCGCGAGGTTCTGGTCCAGCGAGTCCAGGTCGAACTGCAGGTACTCCGCGGGCTTCGCGAACCCAAAGGGATCGAACCCGCGGTCGCCGATCATGCTTCCATCGAGCCACTCCGGCGACTCCGCATTTGGGAACCACACCAGCCGGTTGCTGGAGGCGGGTTTCGATTTCACTTCCTTTTTCTTTGGCGGCGGCGGCGGCGCCTTCTTCTTGCCGAAGTTGAAGAGCGCGTGGAATCTTCCGGTGTTTAAGGTTGTCGGGCTGTTGAGACGGGTGCCAAAGAAGTATGAGGTGGTGGCGGCGGTGGCGGCCATGATGGAGCTTGAAAGAGTAGTGAGGTGTTGTTTATGGGTGGAAAAAGTGTGGGAAAGGGATGTATATATATGAATAAGGTGAAGTATGCTTTTTCAAAGTTGGGTGATTTTGTGATGGATGCAGTATGGAGTGAGTGTGTGAGCATAAAATGTGGCTTATCTCTCAGCCTTATCTGTATGGGTGTTCTTGGATGGTTGGTTAATTGCTGCTTCACATTTATTTTGTGGACCTGATGGAAAAGCACCATTTTTTTTACATTCACATTTTGTTCCTTTCCCTTGATTTTTTTTTTTTTTTTATGCCTACCACTTATTCTTTATTTTCTACTTGCCAAATAAAATAGAAATAATACTTGTTGTAGCATGATCCGTACGTGTGTACTGGTTTCAGAGTAGAAACTATTAAATGATCCGAAATCACCGTGTATCTATGATTTCAACTAAATTTTACCTTACATGTATGACACACGTCATGTAGAAATAACCGGCGTATACAATTTGCTTATGTGATTTGAATTTTTAGTACTTTAGCTTTTGTACTAATCTTAGATCAGATGTTTACGTGAATACTCAACTAGGTCTAATCTTCTTACCCGATGGTGTGATGGTATGTGAAATAGTGTTGCAATCATGAAAGGACACTTATGTTTCTTCAATTTTCGCTTAAATTACCCGGCATGGGAAGCGAAATCAGTTTTCAGCTTTGATCTTTTTGCTAAATTGGAGTAATTTATGGGTGGGAAAAAGGCCAAACTTTTGTCGATTGCAATTTTAATCCCTTTCATTTTCCTGGGAAAGGCATTTTGAATATGCAATTACTGCTGACAATAATTCCGTGATATTATACTAATGAACTAAAGGTAGATCTATATCAACTATAAAATGATTCACAAACCAGCGTTATAAGGGGATAAAAATATGGTTTTTCTACCTCATGTTATTGTTCATCATGCAATGGTTGTGCAAGTGGAATGATATCGCCCAATGTGAGAACTGCAAATAGATTAAGGTTGCTATAGCTCATTGTTAGAAACCAACTTCTTCTGCCTAACTATTGGTTGGTAAGGCAAGACAATTTCTTGGTACTCTAGACCACTCAATTGGTTGATATGATAGATAGATGCAGATATAGTTAATGCATCGTTATGTATTTCTAGACCTTCACACATATACACATATATATAAAAGGATTTACCTGAATTACACTATCTTACCTGTTCTTAGTTATTAGGTTAACGTGCATGAGTATTATATTGTGACGTAATAAAAACAGTAGAAGTTCTCAATTCAAGCTCAGCGAGGTTTAGTTTTGTAACAGAGCTGGAAATGATTCAATTCAGAAAATAAATAAAGCAGAGCAAATTCCAAATGTGTAAGGTGCAATCATACGGTGATTCACAACAATCGGATGGCCCATTTACTCTGAACTTCTAGGCCAGTGTTGCAACTAGAACGCAATAGTGTGAAAGTAATCACGATTAACATCTCTTCTTTGAGTATATTAATTGTTGCAATGTGTCAATTGTCGACTAATATACATATTTTGCATGAATTATTATTTTTGTGCAATGGTGAGAGTTATTGAAGTGTTTCCTCTGCTATAAGCGGTGACAATTTAACAGTTTACCTTTGTCTGCGATGTGTTCGTCATGATGCTAGAAACAGTAAAAAGAACATTTGGTTCAAGTGAAAGAAACAGTTAAAAGGGCATCACCGTTCAAAAGCTTCCCCATAGGCCAAGAAAAAGCTCTGCAAGTGTCTGCAGCAAGAACAATCCCATGATGTTATGGACATTGCTTTGCTCCTTGTGCTGGATTCTCTGCTGTCCAGGATTTCTCATGAATTAGATTGTAGAAAAGATGAAGAAATCAACATTATTGCTGAGGAGAAATAACTTCAAATTATTGACTTGCTTCTTGTTGCTTTTGTATTATGGTTTGTATGATGATGTTATGGCACGTGATAATGATAGTACTACGGTTTTTCTCTTCACAGATTCTTCTCTGGCATCACGCATACCAACTTGCATGCCTCTGATCACCGGCCAAATTGCAAACGTTGTTTTTCTTTTTTCTTATAGTTTTTTAAATTTCCTCTGACAGTTATGCACTTTTTCACACATAATATCATTGCAAAAAGGGTTTTTACGGCAGGTATTTAGGGCCTTTTACGTCGTATTTAAGACTGACGTTAAAACGGGAGATGTAAATTTACGTCGGATCCTTTAGCCCGACGTAAATTTACGTCAGTTATCAAGACCCAACGTAATTTTGCGTTGCATATACCACTAAACAGACGTAAAAACTTTCAGAAATTAAAAAAAAAATAGCAAATTTACGTCGCATATTGGTATACGCGACGTAAATTTACGTCACATATACCAATATGCGACGTAAATTTGCTATTTTTTTTTTAAAATTGGGTTGATTCTGTTTTACAACTAAAACCTGCAAATATATATTACAACTAGACAGTCTAGAGGTTCAATTTTCTTTAGTTAGTAAATTAAAAATATAATATTATATAATTCAAACTACATAATAAAACAATATAATACAAACATACAAACTAAAAAATCTATTACAAACTAAAAGTTAATACAAATTAAGCTACCTAAACTACATAATACACATAATATAATATGAACAAGAACTTAAAAAATTATGTACTAGAATTGTTGAACAAAAAATTTTGCCCATTGTTCTCTAATTTGTGTAATATCATATTCAGTAATGGAGATGAATCTTGAAATACCTGAAACATTAATTTGACTCTTGTAAACATGCAACATGAATAAAGTTAAATAAACTTAACTAATGTTAAAAACAATTACCTCCATCCAAGAATCAATTATACCCGCACAAACTATGACTCTCATCCAATACATAACATAGTAAACACATTCAAACGAGTCTATTTGCTTATTACACTGAAATGATGCAAAAAAACATAATGTTATTTTCAAAATTTAAATACAAACAATAATTATGGTATTCACTTATATAAATAAGTTTCTAACCTTAGGATAAATGAACTGTAAAGTCTTTGTTCTAGGTTTTTCACTTAGAACATTAGTTTCGACACGATTCTAAGTGAAAAAAGTCATATATTATTAAATATATATTATTCTAAGGAAAGGATATAGTAGAAGTAGTGCAAGTGAGGCATCTTCCAAAAGGAAACAACAAAGGAATCATTTTTCTGTATGAAAATGACCTTAGGAGATGAGAGTGACGCATAAGAAAATGACAAATAAAACTTATCCAGACCTATTGCATCACAGCTACACAACCCTAACAAACGTCGGAACTAGATATTCATCTAACTCCTCAACACTGATTTTAAGTTCATTATCCATATCAAACAATGCATAAAGCACAGTAGATAACTTCTTATAAACAAAATTTAAAAGGCACAAAACCAAATTTGTGAGACACAATTTTCTGGCACCTGACTAGTGGTTGTCCCAACAGCCAATAACACAATAGCCATCCACTGCAAGTTAGAAAGCCTCCTACCTAAGAACATCCTACAGAGAAATAAAAGAAAGTCACTAACTGAGAAAACAACAACACTGATCTGAAATCTGAACTGTGAAAAGAGAAGGCACCTGAATAGTACCCTAGTCGTAACAATCTTCAAATTTCCCATTATCTGATAGGTGGAAGTATCCACATAAGTGAGTGTAGCAAACTGCACATTATTGTGGATGAGATATATAACTGAGGGAATCGGGAACAGGGCAACCGTTTTCCACTCCGTCGTCATCTTTGGCAGAGGTGACTTTTGGCATTCCCTCCACAATAACAAACTTGACACCGCAAGCTGAGTGTTTAGCAAAGATGAAATAAGCAACCGCTATTATGCAGCATCAAAACTCGGTTCCTATCAAATAAAATTGACGCATGAAGTGTTTATTAATTTACCTTGAAAACCTCGGCGAGAAATGGGACTGTGGCATAATCATACTTGTACTCTCCGTTACTTTGCGAGAGGGTTGTGAGTATTCCCTACCACGTGAAATTTATCGAAATCAAATTAACATTAACAAAATAAAAGTGCGTGTGAATGGAAGATGCAAATGGTTGGAATTAGGGTTTGAATGTGAGGATATGGAGGAATGGAAGAAAGCAGGAGAGACCTGAGAACTGGTGAGACCTGAGAGACCCTTGCTGGGGGAATAAAAGGGACTTTTTACATCGCGCACCTCAGGATGCGACGTAAAAAGCCTCTTTTACGTCGCGTCCGTGACATAAAAGTTTTGTCTCTTATTTACAAAATTGCCACCGTATTTTATTTACGTCGAATATTTTTACATGTGACGACAATTGGGTGACGTAAAAGCCCTTTTTTTCACTAGTGTATGACTAGAGAGTTTTAAGTTATTCGACTGCATAGGTGACCAGGCTCCATCTAGTTGATAAGGAACATAATTTTATCTTATGAGTATGTAGTTTAATTTTTACCTTTGTGAGTTGGTAATTGTAACTATCTCTACAAACATTTCTTAGGTTTTGAAGTTTGCACGTATCTTAATGGTTTCCTCCTTAATTCAACTTGTTGTTTCGTGAGGAGTGAAAACAAGATTAAACAAAGATGCATCAAGATGAAAAAGAGAGAAAGAATGAATTCAAAAAGAATATTGATTCTGAACTCTCTATACACATGTACACTTTCTCATATAAAAGTATATATAGCCAAAACATAAAGTTATACATGTTTATATAAAATAAATCCTATATAAAATGACATAACTACAACATGCATATATGAAGTTTATTAAATAAACTTTATGACTGCATCTAACAAGGTCTTTGAACATCAAACAAAATCAATCATGGTCAACCATCTCATGAATTTCCCTTTTGAAGGAGATTTAGTTAGCATGTCAGTAGGATTGACTTCAGATGCAATTTTCATGATCTCCACTGCACCTGATTCAACTACATCTCTGATAAAATGTAGTTTAACATCTATATGATTGGTTTTAGCATGATACATTTGATGATTGGCCAGACAAATGGCACTTTGGTTGTCACAATGTATTTGAACAGTTTCTCGTTTGATACCCAGTTCAAGTAGCATTCCTTTCAACCATAGGGTCTCTTTTACTCCTTAAGCCAATGCACAATACTCCACTTCAGTGGTAGATAGAGCAACCACAGATTGGAGATTAGATTTCCAGCTGATTGTTGTTCAATACAAGGTAAACACGTACCTAGACAGATATTTTCTTGTATCCAAACATCCTGCAAAATCTGCATCCACAAACCCTTCAATTACACCTCCATCTTGAAAATTGTTGTGATAGAGTAAACCAGAACTCAGATATTCATTTATATATCTCAACATCCACTTCAAGGCTTCCCAATGTGATTGCCCAGGCTCCATCATAAATCTGTTTAACACACTTACAGCATGAGCCAAGGCTGGTCTTGTGCAAACCATGTCATACATGACACTTCCAACCCCACTAGTGTAAGGTACAATATCCATCTTCTTCCTATCATCTTTAGACTTTTTGGACCTTGATTCTGAGAGCTTCATGTGTTGTCCAAGAGGTGTGCCAATAGGTTTGGATTGAACTTTCCACCACCTTCTGCATATAGTTTTGTTGAGATAATAACAATGTTTCCTTCTGTCGATCTCGTTTGATATCAACACCTAGAATTCGACTGGCTTCACCTAGATCCTACATCTTGAATTCTAAGTTCAGTCTTGATTTTAGGTTATTGATCATGCACTTATTACAACTGGCAACCAGTATATCATCTACATATAATAGGAGATACAACTTGTCTACATGATTCAAGATATATATACAATTGTCAAAACTACATCTCCTAAAGTTCATCTTTATCAAGAAATCATCAAATTTTTTGTACCATTGTCTTGGGCTCTGCTTTAAGTCATATAGATATTTCTGCAAAAGACACACCTTATCATCCAAAGAAAACCCTTCTGGTTGTCTCATATAGATCGTTTCATCTAGATCTCCATGCAAGAAGGTTGTATTGACATCCAATTGTTCCAGATGCAAATTAAATTGGATTACAATGGATATTAAAATTATTACAGAGCAATGTTTCACCACAAGTGCAAAAATTTCATTGTAATATACTCCTTCGACCTAGGTAAAGCCACCAGCCTTGATTTATATCTTGACTTTTAAACCTCAAGTATCTCTTCTTTCTTTTTTAAGATCCACTTGGAACCAACTACTTTCTTCCCCTTTGGCAATTCCACAAGTCTCCAAGTATTGTTCTTCTTGAGGGCCTCTAGTTCTTCCTCCATAGCACATTGCCAAAGTTATCTTTCACTGCTTTCAAGTGTCTCTCTAAAGCTCCTAGGTTCTTCTGAGTGTTCAAGTTTTCAGCTACACTTAAGGCATAACATATTAAATCTGCCTCCCCAAACCTTCTGGTTGGCTTAGAGACCCTTTCTCTATCTCGAATAAGCTGGTAATCTATAATGGCATGATTAGATCCCCTTGAAGCATGTGCAATATCAGGTCTTATACATATCATTGCATACATCAAACTACCCACCGCAGATGCATAACGAACTTTGCTTATATTTATCTTCTCAGCTTCATTTGAAGGACATTGTTTAACACTCAATTTAAAATGAGCAGCAAGAGGAGTACTTATAGCTTTAGCATTTTCTATCTGGAATCTTTGCAACACCTTCTGAATGTAGTGCTCTTGTGATAACCAAAGTTTCTTCTCTTTTCTATCACGAATGATACTTATACCAAGAATCTTTTTAGCAACTCTCATGTCTTTCATGACAAATGACTTGCTCAGTTGTTTCTTCAACCTGTCAATTTTGGAAACATCTTTTCCAATAATAAGCATGTCATCAACATACAACAACAGAATAATAAAATCATCATCGGAAAATTTTCTAACAAAAACACAATGGTTAGAAGTAGTCTTCTTGTAGCCTTGCCACCCACAATAGGCTCAAACTTCTTATACCACTGCCTTGGAGCCTACTTCAGACCATATAGGTTTTTTCGTAGCCTACACACATAGTCTTATTTTCCTTCAACAAGGAAACCATCAGGTTACTTCATATAAAAATCTCTTCCTCTAAATCACCATGAAGGAAGCAATCTTCACATCCATCTGTTCAACCTCCAAATCAAGAGTAGCAGCTAAACTTAACACAACTCTGATAGATGTCATCCTCACAACAGGTGAGAAAATTTCATTGAAGTCAACACCCTTTCTCTGTTTGAATCCTTTCACCACAAGTTTGGCTTTGTACCTGGGAGATGTAGAATTCTCTCTTGCTTCATCCTGAAAATCAACTTGTTCTCTAAGGTCATCTTGCCCTTAGGAAACTTCACCAAGTCATACGTGTGATTATCATGCAAGGATTTCATTTCATCCTGCATTGCATCCAACCACTTTTACTTTTCTTTACTCTCAATGGCCTATTCATAACATTTAGGCTTTCCTTCATTAGTCAACATCACATACTCATTATGAGAGTACTTCTTAGAAGGTTGTTTTGGTCTGTTAGATCTCTTGAGTTGAACTTGTGGTAGCTCAGGTGCATCATCATGATTATCTTCATGTACCATATCATCTTCATGTTGAGCATCACTAATTGGAACCTCTAATCCATCTCCAACCTGATGATTATTAATATCACCATGTTGCTCATCATTATCAACATTAGTATCCAGATAATTAACATGCAGTCGAATTGGATCAACATTAGCCGCATCACCATCTTCATTAGGTGTAGACTTCTCCACCTTATCAATGTCTTCAATGGTTTGATCTTTCATGAACTGCATATCACGGCTTCTAATAAGCTTCTTTTCAACAGGATCATACAATCTATAGTCAAATTCATCTTGACCATAACCAATAAAGATGCATTGCCTTGTCTTCATATCCAACTTGGATCTTTCATCCCTTGGAACATGAACAATTGTTTTACAGCTGAAGACACGCAAATGATCATAGGTGACATTCTTGCCAAACCAAATTTTGTTTGGCACCTCAGAGTTCAAAGCAACCGCAGGACTTAGATTAATAACATGCACTGTTGTAAGCAATGCCTCACCCCAGAAATGTTTAGGCAACTTTGCTTCAGAAAGCATACACCTAACTCTTTCTACCAAGGTCTTGTTCATCCTTTCTGCTAAACCATTCAACTAAGGAGTTTTAGGAGGAGTCTTCTCATGTACAATACCATATTATCTACAATAAGCATCAAATGGTCCATAATACTCACCACCATTGTCAGAACGAATGCGCTTCAACTTCTTTCCTGACTAACTCTCAACCAAAGCATGGAATTCTTTAAACTTCTCCAATACTTAGTGTTTTCTCTGTAGTGCATAACCCCAAAGCTTCTTGGAACAGTCATCAATAAAAGTAACAAAGTAAAGTACACCACTAAAAAGACTTTATCTTTAACAGGCCACAAACATCAGAATGCAACAATTCAAGCAACTTTGATTTCCTGGAGGGAGGATGCTTCTTGAAGGATACTCTGCTTTGTTTACCAGTCATAATGAGAACATTTCTCCAACTCTGCATTTTTCAATCCTGAAAGAACATCCTTTTTAGCTAAGCTATTAAGTCTTTTTTCACTGATATGACCAAGTCTTTGGTGTCACAAAGATGACTCCATATACATGGCATTCAGACTGTCTTTAGCAACCAAAGTTTTTTTCCAATAAAGCTGAGTTTTTCTCCCCTTTGGCCACAATCAAATTACCTTTGGTGAGTTTCCACATTCCAGAA